AAGAGATGTTGCTCCATACAGTTTGGGATTAAGTGATGGATTGGACTTCATATGTCTCTCGTTTTGGATTTTCACATTTAACATGTTTGGATGATCTGTGACCTTAGTTAGATTTACTGAATTGAAAACTGGCTAATTGCATTGATATTCTGTTTTATCATTTTTTAATGGTGATTATGATCTTGGATTCAAAAATTAGACTTGAGAAAGATTTTGTGGACTATGTTGATATCAAGTGATGCCACGTCTTGGAACTTTCTACATTTGGTGGGGATTATTCTTGTTCAGTGCAAAACACTTCTAACGTTGATATAGAATCAGTCTTACAAGTGTTTGTGATTATAGGAGGGCGTTAATATTTTTCGTAGAAAAGCGATGACTTCATCAGATTTAATTAAATGTTGAGAAGTTTTCAGACAAGTCTGTATTCGTAATACTGTGTTGGTGTGTTGGTTAGCAATCAGTTGTAGAGTGTTGAATAATTAATGTCCTTTAGATGGTTCCAGGACTCGTTATAATACAGAGGTGTCATACCACTGGAATCACAGCGATATTTAAGAACGCTGCAGAAGGCAAGGTCATGTAAGAATACGAAGATCGCATATATCTTGTAACGTTAAATCCGTAGAATTGATATTTCGTCCAGGTTTAGTTACGGATGCTTATATTGGTCAGCTTGGAGAGGAAGGCAATACTACTGATCCATATCCCAGTTCTTGAATGATACAGCAGTGCAGACTGTGATGTCTGGACCGTTTGACACGTTTCCAACAGTTAGGGTGTCAGTGATATTGACTGATGTCAATTTTGGGATTTATCTTGACGTCAGACTTACTGTTGAGGTTTTCCCAACTTATTATTGATGTTATTCCGTGGGTAAGGCAGGATGGTCTGGATAGTAACCACTGCTAATCCCAACCCCAGGACATCTTCCCCCCTACCCCCGGGGCGTCCAAGGGCGAAATCTGAACCCAACGGGCCTCCTAGATGGGAGGAAGAACAGGTAGGTGAAAGTTACCTATGTGTCTGTGTAAATTCAGTACGTACTTAAAAAAAGGCTCTTTTGCGCAGCTAATGAAAAATGCGTAAAGGTATATTACACAAGTTACATATAGACAAAAAATGATTGGAGGAAGAACAAGTAGGTAAGAGTTACTTTTGTGTCTGTGTAAATTCAGTACATACTTAAAAAATGGCTCTTTTGCGCAGCCAATGAAAAATGCTTAAGGATATATTACACAAGTTACATATAGACAAAAACATTACAGGTAAATTCATCGTATACCATGTGGGTTATAAATTCTGGTTTTCACAGATTTTCAGAAAACTCGTGTGTTTATAAAGATTGTCTGTAATAAAGAATAATGTATACAAGTATTGTTCTTTGTACAAGTTATGATCCCAAACACTTCAGTTCTCAATTTCTAAACAACTTCACAAGGATTACCCCACACTTTAACAGGACTCCTAGCAAGGAGGTTTAGTAAGCATTAACCCCAATCTAGAATTTTATTACTAGTGGATGCTTGCTAATCTTCCCTCCAAAGGCAGATTTAAACTGACGCCAACAACGTCTTTTTAAACTGTTCCCTGATCTTTATTGAGTAAATAGATAAACACAATAATTCAGGAGGTGGCATTCATAGCGTTATATACGCCAGAACCTAACAATTTCTTTTGGCACAGTTTTTAACTAATTATGAAAATACCTTCATGTTGTTTGTTAAAAACTCTAACTAAGATACAAGAAGAATTTTGGCATCTGACATGATATGTTACAAGAATATTATTCGAGGGAATCTGTTTGGAAAATTAAACATGATTTGAACCCAAGTAAAAGTTGGCAAGAGTTCCGTCTGATGAAGCATCATGTATTGCCAGCCATCAATAGCATGAATCATGTTACACATTTTGATAAAGAGTATTTAATTTTATATTTGGATCTTGTTCATTTTAAAACAATGAGTTCAGTCCTGCGAGTGCCAGCTGGAATTTTTAACATCACACGATGGTGATGATGCAATACTATTTTAACTCCTAGCCCATCATGTTATTAAAAATCACAGGAATTCTGAATTTTTATGCTTTTCAAAACTTAATTTCTATTTTGGTGATGAGCAAGTGGTTCTGATTTCTGAATCTTATTGTGGTGGTGTGTGTGATAATGCTGAGAAAATTGAGCCTGAGAAGTAATGGTATTGTACTATAGATGTTCTTATGGAATGTTATAGGGCTATGCTTAATGTGTTGTGGAATCAGAGGAGCAGAATCGAGACTGTTTGGTGTTAACATGTCTGTTAGCGTCAATATTATCATTAGGACATAGCATGTAGCATATACTGTCTCTGACAGCATTAAAACCAGTAAATTTGGTCTGGTATAGAACAAAAATAGAGATTTTAAATGATTTTTTAACATTTCAATTATAAAAGTTGGTGATAATTAACTTCTTCAAACATTTTTAAATTGACTCGAAATTTTGATCAACGAAAATTGGTGAAGATTAACTTCTTCAAACATTTTGAATTGACTTGAAATTTTATATTCATCTTAAATAATGATGCACTTTTGCTGCAGTAAAGTTGTTTTTGTTTCTTTCAATCAGAATTTTACGTTCCTGAAACTTAATGCATTTGAAGCCATTTGAGGGGGGAAGGCGGGGGGGGGGGGGGGGGTTCAACATTTGCAGGAGACATTATTGTATAATCTTGTATAAATTCTTGTTCATGTTATGTGAGAATCATGGACGTCAGTAACATATACTCCATACAAGTGCATGCACAACAATTTATTAACTTAAAATATATTTTTCACCTATAATGTAAGCTAGCTAGCAATTTAAAGCAGATAGTTTACTATCCAAGCATGTTGGGCTGCATTTGTAATAAAAACTTGCTTTGTCATGTGTAAAATTCAGGACTTTTTTAACCTCAAGACCATTCATAAAGTCAATTATCAAATTTATTGGAATGCTGGCCGGTTCTGTCCCTACATGTACAATAAATATTCATAACTAATGTATTAGGGTAGAGTTTGCTGGTAATAGATAATGGAGGTGCAAAGTCACAGTTGGTAGACTATAATTTAATGTGTCGGGTGTCAACATACCCTTCGTTTAACCTTCAGATGCACCTACAATGTCACACAGAAGATGTAAAGTATGTAACTTTATAAAAGTGTCCTGTGAAACTAGTACCCTTTAAATAGCTTTGAGCTTGTATTTCATAAAAATAGATTTCTCAACATGATAGGTTGATATTTACACTAAGGAGTTGGTGTAATGATAGGTTGATATTTACAGTAAGGAGTTGGTGTAATGATAGGTTGATATTTACACTAAGGAGTTGGTGTAATGATAGGTTGATATTTACACTAAGGAGTTGGTGTAATGATAGGTTGATATTTACACTAAGGAGTTGGTGTAATGATAGGTTGATATTTACACTAAGGAGTTGGTGTAATGATAGGTTGATATTTACACTAAGGAGTTGGTGTAATGATAGGTTGATATTTACACTAAGGAGTTGGTGTAATGATAGGTTGATATTTACACTAAGGAGTTGGTGTAATGATAGGTTGATATTTACACTAAGGAGTTGGTGTAATGATAGGTTGATATTTACAGTAAGGAGTTGGTGTAATGATAGGTTGATATTTACAGTAAGGAGTTGGTGTAATGATAGGTTGATATTTACACTAAGGAGTTGGTGTAATGATAGGTTGATATTTACAGTAAGGAGTTGGTGTAATGATAGGTTGATATTTACAGTAAGGAGTTGGTGTAATGATAGGTTGATATTTACACTAAGGAGTTGGTGTAATGATAGGTTGATATTTACACTAAGGAGTTGGTGTAATGATAGGTTGATATTTACACTAAGGAGTTGGTGTAATGGTGTCAGATTCTGAAATTTTTATATGTAATATGAATGGTGTAGTTTCACTGCCAGACAATATATCTGGTAATATTTTTAGAAAATACTGAAACTTCTATCCTCCTTTATATGGCATGTATCCCATTAAGTACAGGTTTTATATTTAGCATTTTTTTAGTTGTCTCATTGAGCTCCTAGGTCAATTTCCACATCCATTTTATGGTATATAATGTATATACAGAATATTCATTCAACTAAAGTACAAAATTCTTCACACTTTCACCTCCTGATAATTCAATTCCAGAACTTAGTATTTCTGAGCAAGCAGAGATATCACTGATAATTGTGTTGATGTGGATGTATCCTAAGGCAAGACCCTTTATCCTTACTCCTCTGGTTAGCATGCGACAAGCTTCTTGCATGATGTTAGGTGGAGCAGCCACCAGCAAGCTATAATTTTAACCTTACTGTTCACAAAATGAAAATTCCAAAAATCTAATAAGCTTCTAAAGCTTCTTCCAAACCTTTGTATTTGGAGCTCCATGTTTGTGAACGTATCTTGGAAACTTTCCATTTTGTTAACCTTTGATAAAATTTCTTCAGCTTCCACAGCCAATTCTCTGCAGAGGTAAAAACATCATTGTCATTCACAGTTTCCTGTCAGACTGTTTATACAACAAATATATCCAGATATAGATTATATAGCACACCTGGAAAATAAAAATGGGGAGTGGTAGGAAAGGAGCAGCAGGACGCTCAACCAGAATTTACTAGAATTGAACAAATTGCTGAAATCTTAGCGAAAGCGTCTTTGTTTCTAGTCGTATATATATATGTCCTTGATGTTCAGAGGGCTTTCAATTACAACACTGTCGTATGTAGAATTAGACTTTTCACTGTGCTACAATGTCTGGTGACCTGCATTAGACATTGACATCTGATGCGTACAGTTATATGATGTCACACTGAATCAAGGATTATGTTTTACTGGAGCGGTGTGGAAAAATGTAAATTAATGTCCGCATGAAGCTGATTTTTTTTTACCAATGTCACTTTCATTGAAGGATAAATTTTATGAAGGATTTCACGTTTGATACTCAGTGTCGTTATGATTGTGTGTTGTAGGTTCAGTGTGGAAGCATCCTTGTGTCCCCTGGTGAACACACTAATAAAGTCAAAACCAGCATTCTACTTGCGCCTACAACGCCAGACAAACGAAACAAGAAGACGTCCAAGCATGCACTGACCATCGCCTCCAGTTTTGGACATGGTGAGTTGTGATGATTAATTTTAAGACTTACCACACCAATACTAAAAAGATTTTTTTCAAGCTTGCTTCTTAGAATTTCTCATAAGTAAATTCAACTGATTGAAAACTTGATTTTTTTGGGCCATAATTTTTTAGACAAAAAGTTGTTTTTAAATATTAGTTTCTCTTTGGAAGTCCATAAGCGATTTTACTGTAGGACCAAGCTGTGAAATTTAAACAATGTAAAACTTCACTTAATGGTATTTCTAGAAAGTTGGCAAGTTTGTTTGTGTCAACATTTACAGAGTGAACGGTCACTATTCCGCATACAGATGTCCTTAAAATCTTAAATAGATACCGAGTATAATAATATCAAGGGAGATAACTGTGTTAATAAAATCTTAGATACTAAGTTTAGTTACATCAAGGGAGATAACTGTGTGAAGCTTATGAGTATACCTGACAAAGTTCACTGGTACAAAAGAAATCTGTTGTTAACCTGTGTAGATAGTTTTGTTTGTCTGTATCCTATTTGACAACCTGGACTCTCCCAGCTGTACAGTCAATATCTGTTCTTGTAAATGGGTTCATTTATAACTGAGTATAACAGTTGGTGTAGTACAGTGTCAACATTGGATGTAAGGTTTCGGTAGTTTCATCTTATTTATTACGTAGTAAAGTATTGTAATTGTTTCCTGTTAGCCATTTTAGAAGATAAAAGAAAGTATAATCAGGAGTTTTACATGATTTATAGTTTAAAACAGAATCATCTCCTATTTTATGATTTCATTAAATTTGTGACAACAATCATTATTTCCTCGGTCTGTTATATTTTACAACATCTACCTCAGTAAGATTCCAGATAATAAAAATGGATTAAGATAATAATGAGCTTTACTTTATTAAATTGTTTGTATTCATTACCACATATTTTCCATGTTGATAAGAAGTGTTTGCTAGGCTTAAGAAATATCCTTTAACTGTCAACATCTTTAAAATTAATTGGCAAGTGCTAATTAATTAGTACTGTTGTGAATTATTTGTTTTCACATGAAATTATTTTTGTCTGAAATTCCTTTGTCTATTATCATATTGTAGACCATCCTTGGCCCCAGGTGAAAATCACACTACCACAGAAGTGATAATGCAATTTTCACTTGGAGCCGAGGATGATTGTAGAAAATTTAAAGTAAAGGTACAGCTTATGTGATGTTTAAAAAACCTAACTGTAACTACAGCAGACAAAAATTAAAATACAGAGGTATAAAATCTGAAAATTAAAAGTTATTAATTATTTTCTTACCATACTAATCTTCATTTCAAAATTATATTATTTTGTGTTGGGAAGGGGTGGGGGAGAGGTAGGGGAGGGGAGGTAGAGGGATGGGGAGGGAGAGGGGTGGGGAGGGAGAGGGATGGGGAGGGAGAGGGATGAGGAGGGAGATGGGTGGTGAGGGCGGGAGAGGAGGAAGTAAAGTTCCTGCTTTGCCTAATATGCACTGTTAGCATTTTACATACCCTGTAGTTTTCCAAAAATCTATTGAAATAGTTGTTTGATACAAAAACTTATCCTATCAGTATTTTGTTGTGAAGGACAATAGCACCCGAATAAAACAAGAGGAATAAGAGAAGAGTATAAGAGAACAAAAGAATAAGTGTGTTTAAGGGTAGGACACTCACATTGTAGTTCAAACTGTAGTATTCTAGATGTCAATATATGGACTAAAGTAAGTCCAGTGCAGTTGATTACTTGCCAATAATCGGTGTTTGTAGTACACAAAAAAGACCTTGTCATAAGTTCATATCGTGTCTATTCCCACGCACCAAAACTTATACACATCTAAATATCATTTGAGAAAATATGTCATATTTAAAATTTTATCTTAAAATATTGAGACAATGTGACAATTGAAATTCTATTTACAGTATAATCTATTGTAGTTTTTATCATGAGGACAGATGTATTTAAGAAAATGATAAATGTCTTTCTGAAATTGCTAATGATATTCACTATGAATACTGAAATATATGATGCTTTGTTTATCTACTACGGAGAAATAAACATATAATTTTACAGTTTGTAATTAACACAGAATTAACGAGCTGTAGTAAATAAGACATTAGAGTAAAACTTTAAATGATTTTCGTTCGATAAGTTTTAAAAAATGTGATAAAAGTCTACACATGTGGCCTTTAAATGATTTTCATTCGTTTTAAGTTTTAAAAAATGTGATAAAAGTCTACACATGTGGCCTTTAAATGATTTTGATTATGTGGAGATGTTATCAGTAAAATGTTGTCTTATTAATCCAGATTACGTTTGTGTTCCCGCATACTGTTGTCGCATGGCAAATTCGAGCCATGCAATAAAATGTACTAACTATTAATATATCTCTGAAATATGGAAATTTGACACTAGGTTTCTTAACAAAGACAAAAGAATGAGAAACAATTTAATATCATGTGTTGAGCATATCGTGTTGAACCCAAAGGTTAATCGTACACAATCTCTCATTGGTTTATGTTTCTCAGGGGTTTTGATCGTTCAAACAATCTGCCAGCTACGGTGAAGGGTCATATTAAGAACGGCATAGTTTTAGTATTTGTTTTAAGTTTCTGTGCTGTGGTAAATTAAATTGAGCCAACACCTTTGGAGGTAAATTATAAACAACTCGCCTTATAATAACGGATAAAATAGTCTTAATCATGGAAGCTTGCCAATGCAAACATCCTAAGCAAACTACATACATTATTTTTTTAATAATTCCAAATCTGTCAAATGATAAATGGCAATGTTTGTTTTACAACTGTCATCCTTGATTGGGGTTGGATTAACATTGAAAAGAAAGTCTATTTGGTTAAAATCTGTCAAAGATTCTTTCTTTGTTTGGAGACATAGCTGTCAGTTTTGGCCAGGGAGAGATTGGATGTTAGTTGTTATATAACTGAAGTAGCTAGCACGTTATCGTAGTGCTATTTTCAATACCTGACCTCCCATAGTTCTTCTTTGTCTCGTGGAAACAAGAACTTTGAATATGTCTTTAAAATACAACAAAAGGGGCACTTAGGAAGGAATTTCATTCCAATCAAAGATTGAACAAAAAATCAAATTTAAGAAAACATTAAATACAATATTGTATACATGTGCACATATAAACAAATTATTTTCACAGTATTGACAAAAAAAAAAAAAAAACAATTGTTAAATTTTTTTGTCATCAGATTTTTATTGCTGATCAGAAGGTAGATATTTTAATTTTTTATTGGACTGTGGTCCCCACCCTACCCTCCTATTTCCAGCTGTTACTTTGTTGGCCGCAGTTCCAATGATATATCTAAGTTTTATCTGTAGATAGATCTGTGATAGCTATATACTCAAATGTACACTGATATACCCAGACACCCACCAACACACGCCAAAACCCATGTCACTCACAATGGAGAATATGTGCTGGAAAAAAATTCTGGAACTCAAACTAAATATTCTTCATATTGAAGATGAAATCTGTAAGTTTGTCAATAGATTTTTCATTTCTTAGAATTTTCTCTGAATTTTGAAAAGAAATTTGGGAGTCATTTCACTTATTTGGATTCTTTTTTCCAAAAATAATTGCATTTGACATTGTGTTGTTAATCAAAATTTATTTCCAGTTATTTGCGAAAAAAAGTATTTTGCCATTGATAAATAGTTACTGATATTTAAAAATAAATGTCTTTACAATGTTGCCATTTTTAACATAGTTTAATGATGAAATGTATGGTAGCTTATCTTGGTAATCAGAATTGTGATACCATGAATCAGATGACATCTACACATGATGAATTTGAACAGTCACACTTTACAACTTACCTGGAAATACAAACATAGATTGCTGCTAATTGAAGCTGTTGTGTAAGATAAAAGAACAGAAATATGTTTGGTGCAAATTAACAACATATCAATGTTTTAACAGCTTTTCTTGTGAAGTTATGATCAACAGAAATTTACAAGGTACAGGAGTTCTGTTGATGTAGGTATTTGTGTGGGCACATTGTCAAAGTAAATAACAATTACTAGGTACAGGGTTTGGTTAACAGTGTGTAAACTGTCAGGTATAAAAGTTGATAGAAGATTTTAGAAGATTGTATCCTTCATATTTCAGTTCATTCCTTCTTAAGAGATGATGATGTTGTTCTGAATGAACTTGAGAGAAAAGACGCCAACAATAAATGTTTGATGCTGATCAAGAAACCAAAGTCAGGTGCTAAACAGGTGAGTTAATTAGATGAACCAAAGTCAGGTGCTAAACAGGTGAGTTAATTAGATAAACCAAAGTCTGGTGCTAAACAGGTGAGTTAATTAGATAAACCAAAGTCAGGTGCTAAACAGGTGAGTTAATTAGATAAACCAAAGTCGGGTGCTAAACAGGTGAATTGATTAGATAAACCAAAGTCGGGTGCTAAACAGGTGAGTTAATTAGATAAACCAAAGTCAGGTGCTAAACAGGTGAATTGATTAGATAAACCAAAGTCGGGTGCTAAACAGGTGAGTTAATTAGATAAACCAAAGTCTGGTGCTAAACAGGTGAGTTAATTAGATAAACCAAAGTCAGGTGCTAAACAGGTGAGTTGATTAGATAAACCAAAGTCGGGTGCTAAACAGGTGAGTTAATTAGATAAACCAAAGTCGGGTGCTAAACAGGTGAATTGATTAGATAAACCAAAGTCGGGTGCTAAACAGGTGAGTTAATTAGATAAACCAAAGTCGGGTGCTAAACAGGTGAGTTAATTAGATAAACCAAAGTCAGGTGCTAAACAGGTGAGTAAATTAGATGAGATGTCTGATAAAAATGTACAGAAGTATAGTCCTAGTTTTACAAACATTCCATTTCTAACCCATTTGCATATTTTTTACAATTTCTGGTCAATTTTCCAAGTTTTGTACCAAAGAGCATTTCATTCAGTCTAATTGTAAAAAGTTTCAATTTTATATCTGACTGCTTTCTAGTTGAAAGTGATAATTGATTCATAGGTAAAATGTCATTGATTGTGTTTGGCGAGTGTAATGAAATCTTTACCAGGTGTGAATGGTAGAAGGATTTTGACGATCTTGTCTTTCCTTAATTGGTACAAGAAAATAGCTGTAGGTGAAAGTCTCCTAATTGTCTAGACTGAGTACTACTTATATGATTGACTTAATTACCTGTCAGGTATGATCATTTAAACAGGTGTTTTTATACAATTTTCCATTGAAGTGACCAGACATGTTGGTTTAAGACCTGTGATACCCAGGTTATATTTAACAAGTGTTTTTTTATAGATCAAGCTTTCATGACAAAACAAGAAGGTAATATTTCTTTACATACAGAGATTTCCAAACTGCAGGGGTTGTTTACCTAAGAATAATCTGTAATGTTGGAGTTGTAGATTATCAATCTTTTGGCTATATTTAGTTCAGGGAAAATAAAAAAAAACATAGGAGTTTTAGGAAGAATTGATTAGGGATCCATTTTAGTTATTCCTCTGAATAATTCAACAGAATTTTATAGAAAAAAAATCTGTTTTACTATTCATACTAAATTATTCTAAGAAAATTATGAAAATTTCTATGAGATTTTATATCAGTTGACCACCAGAACCAATACAGGAAATTATGGTTATCTTTTATGTTTTTTTTTTAAAATTCATTCTTTTACTTACATTAGCCAGATTTTGTAATTGTTTATCTTTTGAGAAGGGGTGTTCTCTTAGTGCCAACATTTTTTTAAAATATAGGATGGTGTTGTTTTATAAAACAATGGCAATTATATACTATTTCATATCAGCTGCCCTTTTCTTACATCTTTTGAGTTGAATCAATTGTACATGGTAGATCTAAACATTTTACCATCTTTGTATTTATTTCTTACTGTTGTCTGTACATTCTATATAAGATATTTATGTAAAAGGAAAGTTTACCTCACTTACTCTTACCTGTAATATTTACCTGTGTTTTACCTGTAATCATTGTAACTTTCTAGTTTATGATAAAACAACAGGATTAGATAAGATACCTTGTTTATATAAACCTTTCACAACTCGGATATAAATTACCGTAAATTAAAGGAATCTGACCTGATATTTACTCTGTATACCTGTGTTTGTTCTAAACTGAAACTTAATATTCATTTTATGATTGTTAGATGCTGAAGTCACAGAGCTGGGCTAATCTGAGCGTGTCCGACTCCAACCTGTATAAGCAGTTGGACGGAGCATACCATGGCGATGGCCGCCGACATGCAAAGTATAGGGTAGGTAGCATCAAAGCATTGGCAGTTGATGTAAAAATAAGTGGGGGGGAGGGGGGATACCTCAACAACTACACCTACTTAGAATAAGATGGTATGTGTGGTGGTTCCTAGGTACCTCAGTATTGGCCTTTAACCTAGAATGAGAGGGTATTTGGGATGGTCCCTAGGTACCACAGTATTGACCCCCCTACCTAGAATGAGAGGGTATGTGGGATGGTCCCTAGGTACCACAGTATTGACCCCCCTACCTAGAATGAGAGGGTATTTGGGATGGTCCCTAGGTACCTCAGTATTGACCCCCCTACCTAGAATGAGAGGGTATGTGGGATGGTTCCTAGGTACCTCAGTATTGACCCCTTACCTAGAATGAGAGGGTATGTGTGGTGTTTCCTAGGTACCTCAGTATTGAATACTTACTTAGAATGAGAGGGTATTTGGGATGGTTCCTAGGTACCTCAGTATTGACCACTTACCTTGAATGAGAGGGTATTTGGGATAGTTCCTCGGTACCTCAGTATTGACCACTTACCTTGAATGAGAGGGTATGTGGGATGGTTCCTAGGTACTTCAGTATTGACCAATTACCTAGAATGAGAGGGTATTTGAGATGGTTCCTAGGTACCTCAGTATTGACCCCCTACCTAGAATGAGAGGGTATGTGGTGTGGTTCCTAGGTACCTCAGTATTGACCAATTACCTAGAATGAGAGGGTATGTGTGATGGTTCCTAGGTACACCAGCAATGGCCACTTGTACAGAATTTTTAAGATGGGATCATTCCATGGTATCTTAGCAACATCCACTGAGTTAAAAATCAAAAGGGATGATTTATGTGTACCTTCAAATCAGTCACCAAGATAAAAATAACTGTTATTTTGTGATATTTTTATGGGTACTTTAGCTGTTGTTGTTTAAAGAATCTTGTTTCATATCTTTCTGAAATTCTAAAAGACATTGTTTTTGTGATACAGATGAGGAGAAAACAGTCAGATCTCCAACAAATACCATCAGACCAGATCGAAAATCTGACCAACGGTGTAGCTGACCACTCCAACAATAACGTGCCAACAAATACCTCAGACAAGGAGAACCATTGGAGGGACGACGACTGGAGGTCAGAGGTCATGTCAGAAAGATCTTACCAATCCAGTACTCTGTCTCATTCACAGTCACAGTACAGACAGAGGGATAGCCAATCAAATTTCAGGACACAAAACTATGGTGCAAGAGAGATCAATAACAATAAGAAATTGTCTAATGGAAATCGCATGTATAGTAGCCATAATGATATTTATTCTCATTCAAAACCATCACGGATGTTTGAAAAAGATACAAATGAAAATTGTGCATTAAAAAGTGATGAGTTGTATAAGCCTGTTCGTAGGGAGGCTGACATTAAGGAGGAAGAGCCTTTGTCAGACCAAGTATCAAGGTCACATAGTCTAGGTGACTTGACCACAGGATTGACACTTTCTCTTGTTGGTCAGAGAAAATATGAGAGTTCTCAGCACGTAGCAGGTGAAAAACTGTCATACACACTGCCTAAAGACATGACCCAATCACCAAAGGATATTAAAAGTAAATTACTTACTGCTAAAACAGAAATGAAGAAAGGCTCTAGAGAAAGTACAACAAATAACAAAGTGTCTGAGGTTGATAAAAGTGAAGTTAATGGAAATAATCCTGTGGCTCCTCCAAAGCCACGTCGTTCACTTCCTGTGGTGCCGAGCGGAAGCGACGTGTCTGAGAAAAAGAAGCACTATACAGAAATGGTGAGACAGCGCATCAATGTACACAGTAGTATGAGTGGGTCTTCATCGCGTCAGTCTGTTAATACACCGCAGTCCACCAGTGACCAATCGAAACGGGTCAGTGGCACACCATCGGACCGTGAAGTGTCTGATCTTTTAGATTCACAATCAACAGATACCTCGTCAAAGTCATCACAGAATAAAGAAATTCAAAATGTCAAATTGGAGAATATATTAGAGCACAGAGCCTCGGCTCCAGTTGACAAGTCAAACAATCAAAATTTAGACACGTCAGACTATGAGGGTGGGAATTATGCCACAATGCCGTCGACTGTGAGAGGAGAATCAGGGGTGACAACTGTCACTTCCGTCAGTAGTACAGCAGATTCAGGATATTCTACTAACGATCCGGAGAATGATGTGTATTCCTCGTCTTCTTATTCAAAAAGTCTACAAAAGTTTGCCCAGAGTTTGTACACTAATGGTAAGGGGTATGGGGGAAGTCATCGGCGTGACTCCACCAGTCACAGAGACACTGTTGACTTTAATTCTCCCTTCAGTCCTCCTAATGCCACTAGCAGTCCTACCAAAGTTAATGCTCCCTCCTTTGTGAACAATAGTGATAGTAAATTAAGCACAAAAAACGTGGAACCAAACAGAAGACATTCTTCAGTGATGAGATCAGTTTCCAATAGTGACATAGACCCTGGAGTGAGGCCAGTGTCTTTTGGTGCAGGCAGTCCTCCAGCTGCCATAGGTAACTTGTCAGTGTATAATGCTGTTCCTGTGAATAGGGCACCCAGGACAGATAACACATACAACCAGACAACAAGGGGACGCAACTCTGTTTCATCACCACCAAGGGGACATAAATCAGTTGTGTCTCCGCATAGCAGGCAAGGAGTTCAAAGTAACAGACAAAATTTTGTTGTGTCACCGAATAATCATCATGTGTCACCTGCTCAGAGGGGACATAACTCTGTGAGTTCACCAATAAATCGACATGTGTCACCTGTGCAAAGGGGACATAACTCTGTAAGTTCACCAACCAATCGACATATTTCACCTGCACAAAGAGGCCATAATTCTGTCAGTTCACCTACCAATCGTCATGTTGCACAAATTCAAAAAGGACCCAATTCTGTGAATTCTCCGGTTAATCGTCGCATTTCACCTGCACAGAAAGTGTACAATTCAATGACATCACCTCCTGATCGGTCCAAACCTGTCACCAACTGGAACAATGTAACAAGTTCAGTGGGTAACAAACCAGTGCCTCCTACCTCTAACAATATTGGTTCTTATCAAGGACATTTTAAAACCATTCAGAACAACATTGAGTGTCAAAATCGTCCCAGTCAGCAGGGTGGTAACCCGTTCACCAGGAACAGGGAGCCCTCAACTGGCCAGGGAAAGGACACAGAATCAGACTTTAGGTCAAGGTCACCCAGGTTAGACCGACCAAGGTCACCTAGGTCAGAAAGACCAAGGTCACCAAGATCTGATCATAGATCCAATATGTCCCCGAGAGGAGAACCGCCTAGGATTTTGGATTACCCTGTAAATGCTCTGACATTAAACTTGAAGCACACTCGTACGCAGCATCATAATGCCTCAACTGGCCAGCCAGGTCACTCCAGTGTGACTCGACCCATGAAAACAAATGGTCCTCACCCAGGCACACCACAATATGGTACATTGCCCGGAAACTTTAAGTTCAATACAAGAATGGATGAAGACTGTAATAAAAATAGCAATACACCCTGTCTTTTCCAGATCCTCTTGTCACATGATTTGGCATCTGTTCGTTTTACAATTGAGGACAAATCAATTTTGCTTAATAATTTGAGATTATGTGAGTGCTCTGTTGCTCTACCGGTGCTACGTAAACTGCCAAAGAAAGACAGCTCTGTTCCTATTTCACCTCAAGGAAAGTATGCACAGCTGGGCGGACCTGGCAGTGCATTTAAACCTGTAAAAATTCCTACCAATATTGTTTCTTTCACCATGGTAACTATAGCTGATGTATCTAGGCAACTCAGCCAGTACTGTGATGTAGGAGAGCTCTGCAAAGGGGACATAATCATTGAGGTGAGCAAAACTTTTCTGATATCTAATCTTGTACTGTGATTTGGGCTGCATTTTATTTATAAAAATAATTACCAGAATTTAAATCCTACTAAGTTGAATCCCTGAAACTGGTCAGAAACAAATCACAGCTGCTCTTCAACCCTATTATTTTTCAGAATCTATAAATAGAATTGCCAGACAAACATTTTCATGAATATCTCATTTTCACAGTCTAAGTCACATTACAGTAAAAGATTGCATGATAATGTCTAGAGGTCGGCGACTCATGTGCATGTTTGAATTCTTACCTCCCTTGTTGACCAGATTACAAACACAGAGGATTTTGTTTTTTCAAGTTGGTATTAATCAAAATCCAAGACAGTTTACTGTTTCTTCAACAACATGTTTCTTTCTAAACCATTACATCCAAATATGCCAAGTTTGTTCTACAGATGAATATATTATTTTTCAATTGTATTTATTACAGGTAAATGAGAGCCTTGTGATGTCAGAATCTGTGTCAGGTATAAAGGCCCGGATACAGGAGGGACCAGAGGAGTTTGTGTTCACTGTTGCTAGGGCGAGGTCCTCTACACCTACCCCAGTAACCAAGGTAACTAGGAATTCCTGTCTATGGCCAATCACACCACAAATACAGTTACACCATTGTCGCTATGAGTATTGTTCACAAGATCACACTAATGTTTACATTGTGAAAATCTTTCTGTCAATCATGCCTGTAAAAAAAAAGAAAAATTGAAGTTTTATTTGTATACTTGCTACCTCTGTTATATGATTAATAAGTGTTGTAAATATGGTAATTACTAGCCATTCCACTAGAAACACCAAATGTTTAGCTCAATCTGTTGACTATAAGACAGACGGCCCAGGGTTTGAATCCTAGCAGATGTGTTGATATAGGTAATGAATTCTCTTAGTGTTGAAATTATCTAACAGATTTATAGGTCTTTTTTGAAATTAATTTAAATTGTTTTAATAGATTCAGTAAACACTAAAGTTGTATCCTGTATTCTTAGTATTTGACATTCACTGATTTGAATTTTCTCTTGGTGGGCGGGGCACCATAGTCACACACTCTCTTGGTGAGCAGGGCACAGTAGTCACACACTCTCTTGGTGGGCGGGGCACCGTAGTCACACACTCTCTTGGTGGGCGGGACACCGTAGTCACACACTCTTGGTGGGCGGGGCACAGTAGTCACACACTCTCTTGGTGGGCAGGGCACAGTAGTCACACACTCTCTTGGTTGGTGGGGCACAGTAGTCACACACTCACCTTTCACCTAGACATTCAGGGTTTTATTCCTTGAGTGTACGTGAAAAGGTCACCTGCTTGACATCGTGGGTTTTCTCTGGGTACTCCAGGCTAACATTCCACACTAAGACAACTCGCATTCTTCCATCTGGGCAAGCCCGAGTAATTAATTAATATAAGCTGATAGCTCATTTCATAAAAGTAGAAATAGATTCGTAAAATTGATTTGGAAACGGAAGTTCAGGCTTTTTTATTGGGTCTCATTTGTTTTTCTCATCTTAACAAAAAATGTGTTTCTGTTTTCAGAATCCAAAAGAATCTCAGCCGGAGGTGGACAATCTGAAGAAACAGTTGGAGTCAATGAAGCAAGAACTGAAAAGAAAGGAGCGTGCAATAAGAGAACTCAATGCCATGTTACCATGGAAACCGGAGAACGAGACAGTCAACGGAACGGCAACCAAAGAAGTCAATGGCAACAGTTATGCTAGTGATTCGTTAGTCAGTGGACTTAGTGAGGACGAATTCATTGTGTAAAATAAGGAGTTTTGTTTAATTTGTAAACAAACAGTCTTGCCCATTGAATATCATTGATATTTTACAATATACATATGTAAGCAATTTCAAGTTCATCTCTTTGAAATATAGAACAATGACTTGTGTATTAGCAATATTAATGTCTGCAAATATTCAGATCTGATTTTCCTGAAAATATAATGAATTATTACTTATTTACTGTATGTGGTGAAAGTTTGCCACAGTTTTGTTTGTCAATACTGAATAGAATGAAAATACAAGGTTTCTAAGTTTGATGCTAAAGCTGAAATATATAATTTCTTGTAAATTAGAGACAACTGAGCATAATGATCTTATACAAGACAAAATCCTGACTTAGGGGAAAGAAACGGCTTTTTTTTATAAATGGTATTGTATCAATAAGACCACACCACAATTATTGCAGTAGAACACAACTTATAAAGCATTTTCTTGTAATTAACCATCCTTCTACTTTGGGTCAGAGATTATTTGTTGGCCCAATGGACTTATTGCCCTGTAATAAGCCCACCTCAAACTTGGGGTTAGAGATTATATTTTGGTCCCATATGGGATTATTGCAGGATAATTAGGGTTGATACAGATTTTAAGGGGTTTTATAAGTCTACCTCATATAAGTGTATTTTGCAGAGAGATTTGCAGTAATATACAGGATTATAATGACCAGTATAGATACATGAGTGTATTTTGGAGGAAATGTACTTTTCATTTATGTTGGAGTTCTAGATATTAATCTGTATAGAGGCATTATGATATAAAGAAAGAGAAATGTTATCATGATTACCAGCTGGATTTACTGTCAAATCATTTATTTTCTTCAGGGATTCTAAATCCAAAAATTTATATGTCCACAAAATACTACACAGATAAAAGTTTACATGGACGATGGTTCTAGGAAATTATATGAGCAAGTGCCAATGAAAATGTATATTTTTGGAAAACATAAAAATGTGAACCCCACAAAAATATATAATTTTACAGTATGTGAGGTTCTGTCGCTGATGAGAATCCTGAGTAAACCCTGGAGTATCTAAAATTCTATTAATAGCAGTTACTGATTTACCTTTCAACATGTACAAAGAATTAGGGGAATTCCCTATATCAGCTGCAACTTTAAACAAACATTTAGAAGTCAACGGCTCAAAATTCTCATTTTTGGAAAAAAGAGTGTAAAGAAAGTAAAAGTCACTGTCTTTCTAAATATAGTGTGACTGGTTAGAAAAACAAGAGTGTTTATGTTTTGTCTTCAGAGCTAGTGAAGAAGAGTCATTTAAAGATTAAGTGTTTAAATAGATAAATAATTTCACTGGAAATCAAAATAGCGACTTATTGCAAATCATTTAAATTTCAAAAATGAAACATTTATACCTTGTACTACTGTCTTTAAGGATTACTGTTTTACAAATTATTTGTTTTATGTTTCTACATATAGTCACGATTATATTTCATTCTAGACCCAAAAGTTGGCTCTTGTAATTTGTTTCCTTCAGTGGTCGGACAAAAGATGATATTTTATCAAGTAGGTTGAACCAGTACATGACAGTAAGGTATGAGGCTTTATAATAGGAAACTCAACAATGAAACAATATCATTCTTCTTATGATCAGAATAATTTTATCCAAGTTTACTATAAATGTGCCTCCTGAAGTAAGGGAGGTAACTAGAAAAATATAAATGGTAAAATTTTATTCTGGTTGGGAAATTTGTATTACTATTTTAAATTCAAAGGCTGATAAAAGCACTTTATTAATTTTTTTGTTTTATAAAAGTTATAAAATAAATTAATTGTCAGCTCTTTAAGAGATTTTTTAACTGATAGAATTTTTTTAAAAAGGACCAATGGTCACTTTAGATGGTTAAGAGTACATTCAGCTTATGTTGATTTGAATTCAATTCTTTCAAATAGAAGTTGGAATTTTTCCCTAGACATTTTATTACTGAATTTTAAAATGAACTGTTTTGTCTTTATACACTTTATAGTGTAAAATAAATATTTATAGAAGAAAATGGTGCTAATGAATTACAGGTTAAAGCCTGTAAGTAAAACTGTTCTTAAATCCTGTGCCTTTGTCACAATGGATCCAACCTCTTCAACACAATGGATTAAGCCTTCCATTCATTTGGTTGATTCCATTAACATAACAAGGAATAAGAGGTTTCTCTTTTATTTTCAATAGAAATGTTCATTATCAAGTAGTTCTGTATTTATGGTATTATCTATTTATTTTTGTATGTATTATGTCAAAATTTATGCCATATTTGAATTTCTACAATAAAAGAAATTTCAAATCTAAATATTTGTTACTATTCATTTCTAAAACATAAGATTCTCCAAAGAGCTTCTTAAGTCTTTTTGTCAGTCAACGTAAATTTCCAGGGTGCACACAGTCTTAAAATAATCCTTGAATTTTGCTATATGGTATTAAAGATCAATGAAATTTACATTTGAACTTGAAAAACCTTAAATCTTGGCCTGTAATATCGATAAAGGTCCTGGAATGTGTGATTTATTGTTTCAAACATGTCATTGCAAATTGACATAAATATGGAGAAATTTGTTTTCACTCCAAACTGGAAGATTGATTTACATTTGTAGATTATAAACGCAAAAATTGAAATCTATAATCATAGAAGACCAAACTAAAGGGGAGATAAGCCACTTTACAGACATGGCAGAGTCAGTCAGCCTAAGTGACAAGGACAATTGACATTTGTTTGGAGTTTCCTCTAGAGCTTGATTTTTACTCAAATGTATTGTCAGCATTTGTCCATAGCTGCAGAAAAGCTTAACAAACTGAATTCTTGATAAAAATTTACGACCCACCACCTGATGATTGTGGGCTGTTCAAATCTTACTTTGTCCATGGTCCTATTGTCTGTGTGACATCTATCATTGAACATTTTTTGTAACTTCTCTCTCCTGAGAAGTTAGTATGAATTTTTCACATATTTAATATGAATGTTCCTATTGGTGATCTTTCTGTTTGAGGCTGATCAGGAAAAAAAAAACGGTTGACTGACGGCCGTCTTCATGTAGAGCATTAAAGTTCACAATTTGTTTCACTTGACTGTTATTTACTCTAAGTTGTTCTGAGAATGAATATTTTTATCTTATACATGTCTAGAGGTGTTTATAGATGTAACTGTACAATTAATTTACTTGTTGATACAACATGTAATTAATAGTAAATAAAGAAAAAAGAAGAGAAAGGTTTAGATAAACATATTGTACCTGTGAAGAGTTATCTCCCCTGATACTCCAGGACCTCATCTTCATTACAATAGTTACTTTCTGGCCAGTCCACTCACTAAGATTCTTTCATCACACAGGACAAGTACCGTAACTTAGTTAAAACCTTCGCTGTGGCCACTATAGTTCAGTCAACAGAGCATTAGACTTCACAACATTAGGTGAAGATTGGAGATTTGCGGTTTGAACACTAACCAGAGCAGCAGTTTCGTAAACTCACCTGACTTTGTCTAGTCAACCTAATGTGGGCTATATCCTGACATGCCTAAAAAAAATTTAAAATACAATCCCCTAACATCCTTTTACATTTGATCAGTTTTTGAAATTTAGAAATTCAGATTTTGGATTTGATATACAATATGTAGTCCAAATGAAAATGATCAAACATGACATGGAACATAAATACATACAGGTGTGATCACTATGTAATAGAATTGATTACAGGGACTTTAACCTTGATGACCCTTAATGTTGAAGGTCATGACCAGATATATAACTAGAGGTCATATGGAAACACTGCACAAGACAAATAAAACAAGTAATTAAGACCCACGCTTTTCTCGATATTGTATCGCCAGAAAAAAATCAAATTCAAGCTTACTTTTCATGTGAGAGGTTTAAATTCCTTTACAGATATGAAAAACACAATATGCATAACTATTTAAAATGCATTTGTTGAAATCTAGAATTTGGATGTGGATTGGAAGAGTTATCTCCCCTGTATCAGCATGTACACATTATTATGAAGAGTGGCAGATTAAATCCTAGTTGTAAATTATACAGGAATATGTGTATAGTTACGAAGTCGGATGATATTAAGTCGTCTGTTACAAAATGAAGTAATATTTGTATTGTTAACATGGCTGTGTGGGATTAATCAGTCCAATTAAGACTTAACCCTGACCACTCAGACAATCACTTAAACAGCTTATCAAGTTTTACTGTAAGTACATGTAGGTAATTATTAAGTCTTACAGTAAGTATAGGTAGGTAATTAGTCACCTTTTTCATGACTGCACATTTATATGAATCATAACAAATTAATTCCCAGATGAATGAAAGTTACCTTCACCATGTCAGATTGAGAAAGGAACATTTTACGACAATAATATAATAATGCAGTGCATTTGTCAAAATGGTACAATGAAACACTTAAACATAGAGTTGTCTTGTTACGACATTTATTGTTATTTTGAATGACAGCTTTGCAGGCATAAATGATTATGGTTTCAAATAATACAGAAGAAGTTTTTTGACATCAAATGTCACAGTTACAACTTCAATAATTCTCTTGCACAGTCTTGTACTAGATGTCATTTATGATAGCATACATCACATTTCTTTCTAGTTAGTTTATGCAGAGACATATATACGTATATGTGTTATATACGTCTCTGGTTTATGTAGTGGCATTGCCATGGAAACCTAACTATATAGATATAGAGAATCATATTTTGATTAAGGTGATGGATTATATTCACCAAATAGACCAGACTCCTGATAACATTGATATAGAATGATCAAAATCTCTTAATCTATCCATACTTTAAATTTTTAATTTGAGGAAATTTTGAACAAGAAAATTGAAATTTAAACAGAAGTGAAATCAGAAAGTATGTTTTAGTTTAGTTTTAATAGCCAAGTGAGCTATTGCTGTGGCACAGTGTCTGTCCATCAACTTTTCCATTTAAACAACTTCTTCTTAATAACCAACAGACCAAATGTCATGGCATTTGGCTAATTGGTTGCTGAGATGAAGCCCAACAACGATTGTGAAAAGAAATGACCTTGACCCATATTCAAGATCACAGGGAAAGAACTGTTAAACAACTTATTCTGACAAACCAAAAGGCACAGAAGCATGGTATCTGGCATATAGATTCCTAGGATAAAGCCGGACAAAGTTTGTGAAAAGAAATGACGTTGACCGATATTCAAGATCACTGGCATTAGATTGTCAAAACCTTTAAAAGACCTCTTGTAGTAAACCATGATATTTGGTTGAAATGATTTTCTAGGTTAAAGCCAGACAAATTTCCAGGAAAATGAAATGATATTTGTCTTTAATCCAGGTCATACCTATAATTTTGCAGGGTTGAGTGTTAAAAGTTTGAGTTTGTTTTAGAAATTGGTTAAAACTGAGTCATTGCAAGCCTATTGGGCCTCTTGTTTTTGCTTTATGTCCTTTACACTAACAACTATCGTCTTTTATGGATGCTCCAGGTTTGAGTGGTGGAGGAAAGCCGGAGTTCCTGTAGGAATCAACCCACTGCCAGTACCTGGTAACTGCCCCATGTAGGTCTTGAACCTGCAACCCAGGAGTGGAGGACTTATGTGATAAAGACGGTCAGATGGCTTTACCAACCAACCACTGAGTGTGATATACCTGTAAACACAAAAAATCTCAGATCCTTGGACATGGTGTGATCAGGATTATGGTCTGCAAATTAGATATAAAAATATAAGTAAAATTCTAATTTTGTTCCACAATAGTGTAAAACACTACCACAAAAGTTTTGTGAAAGAATTATAGATAGTAAGAAATAAAAACAAGATACAATCACAGCATTGGGAAAATAATTAAAATGTCCGACAGGTACACCTCTCGCAGTGTTCAAGTAAAAGGCTGAACTGATAAATAAAGTGTTTACAAAATAAGTAAAGATAGTGAAGTAGGTTTACTTACTTAATCGGAATAAAATCTCCTTTCAAAAACTAGTAAAAGAAATATTTGATTCCGAGGAGAAATGAAGTATCAATTGTGTGGTTTAATATCAGGTTGTGTATGTGTATTGTTGACTGATTAGGTTTAGTAATGTCCACTTAATCACTGGGTATTTTCTCAGGCCCCTGGCTGTTAATTCTCCCATGTTAATTAGGTGTCACACTGCAGGCCCCTGGCCCTTAATTCTCCCATCTTAATTAGGTGTGTCAATCTATAATAGAGGTTTCAGTGTCACAACACCCAAGTTTTTCAAAGATCGATCAATTTCAAACTTTAAAAAAAAATAAACAATTTGAATATTTTTCTTTATGCGTAATTTTTTTTATTTAAGCCTCCTGAGAAATGACCACAAAAACAAGAGTGGATATAAACATATAAATTTGAAAAATTTATTTGAAGCTAACAATACTTAATTAGTTATGGCAGCGTTTAATCAGCATTTGCCAACAATACTATCAGGATTAAACACGCCTTCTGACCAAAACTCTAACATGTTCAAAGCCAACTCAACTCATCACACTTACAAACATTTCACAAATAGTCCGTATTTTTGGTAAAATGTTTAACAACAAACATTTATAGTGATGTTTTGTAAGGTTAAAGTTTTAACCCCAAATTTCTTCTCTAGTTTCTTACTCTCAAAGTCTTTCTATGAAGAA